CGACTCGATCCGTCGCCACGAACAGCGGGTGCTTGGGGTCATCCGAGACTCTGGCGACCAGCTCGGTAAAGTCGAGGCCTGACTCGCCTCGTGGCGGATTCATGTTGGGGCAGACGGGCTGATGGGCAATTCGAGAAGAGAATAGGAAAATAGGAAAATAGGAAAATAGGGAAAAGAGTGAAGAAAGAAAGCAAGAAAGCAAGAAAGCAAGAAAGCAAGAAAGCAAGCAAGGAAACAAAGAAAGAAAGAAGCAATGAAGGAAAGAACAAAAGGAGACCAAGGAAAAGGCAGACGTGTAGGACAAAGAGAAGAGGCGAGCAGGGAGGAGGAGAGGGAAAAGTGAGAGTTCGTTTGGAATAGGTCCGGTCCGCACGACGGTCTGTAGTCGGTCGCAGTGGTCCATTGTGATTGGGTCAATACGCGACTGACAACCGCCGTCTGATTGGCTCTCTTTTGCAGTGTCTAGGTGACAGGCGATTGATTTTACTCATACGCATCGCTGATTAGTCGTCCAAGTCGGCCGACCCGTCTACCCACCTGTCTGTCTGTCTGTCTGTCTGTCGATCTACATGCCCACCTATTGGCTTGTCTGTCTGTCAGTCTACATGTCTACCTGTCGGCATTTCTCCTGTCTGTATGCCTGTAACTCGTAGCAACGTCGTTGTAGATGATGGCAACACGACTTGGTCAGTGGGTGAGTAAAGCAATTCACTCGGTCACATAAAATGGCTGAATTAAACTGGCACTGCAGGTCATCCAGTCACCGCCAATTCACATTTACTCATCTACCCGTGCTCAGTTCACATGCTGCGAGCACACTTGAAGCAAATCGCTATGTGTCTGTACGTCTATGTATCGGTGCAAGTTGGCAACGTCGTTGTAAACGCCTCAGTCGAGCTGTGGGTGTAGATTTGGCCGAACCAGTGCTCGGAGCAATATTGCACGACCCGGTGAATGCTCGCCAAGACCTCGCCTGTCCTTCCCTGACAGGCATTGCCAGAGCAGCAAGGCAGACTTTAGGCAAGTGCGTGTTTGGCGATGAAACTGCGCTGACAAACAAACGTTCAGCTCGCATT